TGTACAGCAATGAGCTTGGACTTGGTAACACTGACTGCACCACAGCCTCCAGTTTCTTGTTCCTCTTGCTTTGTGACTCTGCAGTGGGAGAGCAAGTGTGGTGATTGCCGTTCTCACCTATCCCACAGCAGAGAACACGGGCACACGTGGCATGCTCACACCTGGCTGGGGGTGCACAGCTCTGGGAGGTCTGTGGGGGTCACTGAGCCTCCCCTCCTTCCTTCCTCTATGCTTTGTGTCTGGAAGGAAGAAACCCCAGCAGCTGTGACCTGGGCAGACCTTCTGGAAGATGCAGCCACTCCTACTCCTGATGGCCTTTCTTCCGCCTCCTGGGCTGGGACAGGTGAGTGACTGTCCCCATTCCTGAGGGCAGAACCCATCTCACTAAACCTCCCACAGGCCTGACCCTCTGCTCAGCTCCAATTTCTGAACCAGCTCCCATCCCAACACTACAAGTTTGATGCCACATAGACACTCAGCAAGGAGGGATGGCACGCTGGAAGAAAGATTTTCACTAAAAGCTTTCATGGGTCTCAGACTCTCTCTCACCACCAGGAAAGTGGATTGTGCATTTGGTGGAGGATGTGAAGCTGCAAAACACGAGTAAGTAAAATCCCTTAGTCCAGCCAGGAAAGGACAACTCAGACAAACCATCCACAGTTCGGGAGTTTTTGGTGGACCCAGCTTAAGAACCAGAGAAAACTTCTCAGTGCTTCTCACCCTTCACTCCTGGAGAGAAGTCCAGGGTGATTGATCAGAAGTGGCTAGGTGGCATCACCCAGAGCTCTCTAGGTGCCTTGACTCTTCTCCAGCCCCAAGAAGTCCATTTTCTTCCCCAGCTCCCTTGCCTCTCAGGCCTGCAGCTGCCCCACTGTCTTTAGCAGTGCCCTCCCCCATCCCTGTGGTCTTGAATCCCACCAGTACCATCCCTACCAATCTCAGCCAAAAGCTAATAGGAAGCCATTCACTCGTGCAGCCAAAAAAAAAAAACCATTTACTGTGATCCTGGGCTGCATTAGGCTCGAGGACATGAGGATTTTACAAAATCCACCTCTATAAGCTCCTAGTGCAAGCTCACATTAATTTCACAATATTACTGGGAAAGCTCCCAGAAGCCCTGCACTCATGTCATTGAAAAGCACAAGACACAGTGTCACGCCCCCAGGGCTGCCTGTCACCCCAGTTCCCCTCAGCTGCAGCCCTGCCCTGAGGTCGCCGCCCGTCCCGGCTCCTGGGCCGCATCTCCTGTGACTCCAGGCTCCGCACGCCCCTTCTCTGCTCTCTGCAGCTCAGTCAGGGTCACCCTGGGCCACAGCATCAAGGAGCAGGAGAGGGTGCCGCAGGGCCAAGTGCTTTTCTTTCCATGGAGAAAGACGTGCCTTATAAGGCACCATAGTGCCATTTATTGTCCTAGCGCCACTTATTGAGGAGGGGAAAAGATAGTCTTTTCCTCATTCTCTGCCATAAAACCTCCATCATAAACCATGTTTGATATAGGTGTCATTCTTTAATCACTAAGCCATGTCTGATTTTTGGGACCCTATGGGCTGTAGCCCACCCAGGCTCCTCTCTTCATGGGATTTCCCAGGCAAGAATACCGGAGTGGGTTGCCATTTCCTTCTCTGTGGGATCTTCCCAATCCAGGGATTGAACCTGGGTCTTCTGCAGTATTTGGTGGATTCTCTACTGTTGCACCACCTGTGTAGCCCTTGATATGTGTGTATCATTTTCCCAATATGTGTGGGGTCTCTTTTTCTTGTCCCTTAGTCTATATCCCTATGCTCCATCAATGCCACACCATCTTCATTACTATGACTTCATTTGCTAAAGCAAGACCTACCTTCTTGTTCTCATTCCTTAAGACTACTTGGCTACTTTTGGTCATGGGTTTTTCCACATCTATTTTCCATGTCTATTTAGAACCAAGTAAGTTCTATGAAATACCTCTTGGGTGCAGTGAATCTAGAGATCACTTTTTGGAGAAATGACATTTTAAAAATATTTTCTTTTCCAAACATGAACATGAAATATCTTTCTGTTTAAATCTTCTAAGTGTCTCTCAATAAAGTTTTATAATTTTCACCATATCTTTTCTTTAGGTTTATATTTACTTATCTGACAATTTTCATGCTTTAAAATTTTTTTCAAATTTCATTTTCTGACAGTATTACCATGTATATAGACTATAACTAATATTTGTTTATTTATTTATTTATTTATTTTTCATTTATTTTTATTAGTTGGAGGCTAATTACTTTACAATATTGTAGTGGGTATATATTTAAATTGATTCTGTGCCTAGAAAATTTGTGAAACTCTCTTAGTAATCATAATAATGGGTCTGGAAATTCTTGGGCATTCTCGATGTATACTCTATCTCAAGTATTCAGTTTTATTTCCTCTTTTCCTGTCCTTCTATCTATAAATAGAAGCTTTCCTTCTATTTCCTGCTTAATTGTACTTCCTAAAATATCTCATATATTGTTGAAGAGAAATGATGATTATGGCTATCTGTGTGATCTTGTATTGTTTTGCTCTCAATGGAAAACCATTCAATACTTCATCATTAAGTATAATGATTGGCATGGGATTTTTGCAGAGACCTTTTATCAGAATAAAGAGCCTCTTTATTGTTCCTATTTTGCTAAGAATTTTTTAAAATAATGGTGAATTTTAGTACATGTCTTTTCCCCCTTCAGTTGAATTATCATATGGTGTTTCTTCTTTCTTCAATCAACATGTTGTTATAGCAATTGTGTGTGTGTGTTTTTTAAAGACTTCAGCTACAGCTTTATTAATCAGACACACACCAAACTGATAATCAGGAAACAGCAACAGGTGTGGGAAGGGGAGAAACATATATACAGTAATTGTGTGTTGAATGAAAAGCAACTCATCCTCAGAAAAACCCAAATTAGAAATGATCTAATGTTTTTGCTTATTGACTGATTTGAATTACATCAATACTGGAATAACATTAGTCCATAATGTTCCTCTCCTCTATTGTCATCACTGGGTTTGGCATCTAGGTTTTGCTAGTCTCATAATGGAGATGTTTAGCATCTCCTTGCCAGCAGAAATTGTATATCATTCTTGGAACTTTTATTCTCAGATTTCCAGTGAATCCCTGTGAGCCTGGGGCTGTCCTTGATGGACTATTTTTGAAAACTGAATCAAATTATTTAACATTCATAGGAAAATTCAAACTTCTTGAGTATGTTTCATTAAGTTACATTTTCTAAGGATTTGTCAGTTTCATGTGTTGCTGTCCAGTTGCCCAGCTGGGTCTGACTTGTAATCCTGTGGACTACCACCAGCCAGGCCCCTCTGTCTATGGAATTTTCCATAGAAGAATACCGGCGTGGTTTGCCATTTCCTTCTCCAGGGAGTCTTCTCTACCCATGGATTGAACCCATGTCTCTCTCTCTTTTTTCTTTTTTGAATCTATGTCTCTTGTGTCTCCTGCATTAGAAATATTTACTGCTGATTTTCAAAATTACTGGCTTCCCAGTGACCTAGAAGTTAATATAGATATGATTTATATATATATATATATATATATCTCCCAGATAAAAACTCTTTCTTAGTTCTCGCACCGTGCAGTTGACTTTTCACTGTCTCAATAGTGTCTTTGGTAAGCAGAATTTTATCTTTATTCATATACACCCAACACATTTTTAGTGTAGATGAACTCATCCATTATTATTGATGGTTAGTGCTTCTTATATCTGTATAATATACAATATTAATATTAATGCAATATCTGTATAATATAATATGTTTTTACAATGATGAGGTATAAAGAAATTCTCCTATATTCAAAGGTTGCAAGCATAAACCATGCGTTAGAGAAAGGATTACGTTCTTTGCAGCTCTGAGAATAAGTGATAACCTGCAGGTATTTATATATGCAGAGAGGATCTTTAACTTTCATAAGATTTTCAAGTGGCCTTAAAATAATCCACAAAAGGTTGAGAATTGTATTAGAATTCAATTCCGACTTTTTGCAAACACTTACTGTATTGTAGGACTTTCTGTGCCAACACAGAGTCTTCCAAGTGTTTTACGTGTGTCTGCCACCCCCCTGTGTTACTCTGCAGAACTCTCCCATCCTTTCCTCTCAATGGTGAGTGTCCCCTTCTTCATGTCTCACTGGTAGCACAGCAGTGAGTTACCTCCTTCTTAGGAGCTAGCGCCCGTGGAGCAGAGATGGGTTTACGTTGATGGGTCTATCATGAATGAATAGGATCTGAGATGTTTTTCCACAGGGTCTGAGGGCTGTGACCAAAATCAAGTCACTGGGCTTTTTCTTTAGGCAGGGAAAAATCTGGGACACAAAACATTCACCTCAGGAGGAGGCAGTAGAATAGAAGCCGTCCCCAGTGTCGTGATTCACTGACAGTTTGTTGGGGGCTCAAGTGACCTGAGAGAGAAAAGGTCGGTGGCAGAGCCTCACTCTTCCTTTTCTTTCTCTGGCCATGCCCTCCACCCCCCGCCAGGACAGAGCTCCTCAGTGCGCTTGAGAGCTTCTAGAAAGAAGTGGGAGCAGTAAGGGTCTGGGTGGGGCTCAGGACCAGGGGGTGAAGACACGCAGTTTCCATTCCCTGAGGGAGAAGGAGGAAGTAGACAGGTCCCAGCCTTGGTGCCTCTGAAGACATTATTGAATGTGGTGGGTTTGGGGATCTGGGGCACTGTGCCCAGCACCTCCACCCACCCCCCGGTGCCCTGGGCTCCCATTTCTGTGGCCAGCACTGACTCAGCAGCTGTGCGGGCTATTGCACTGAAGGCTTCAGTTACTGCCTTCCCCCAGGTCCCTGGCAGTTTGTGGGCAAGCCTCTTGGGCAGCTCTGGGTGATGAAACTTACCACAGCAGCAGGAGAATGGGGCTGTGAATTCACGAGCCCCCGCCCCCACCCTCACCTTTCCTTCCTCTCCCAGGGGCTCAAAGTCTGGCAGGAGGAAGTAGGGGCAGCAACTGACTGGGCAGCCTCGCTGGGAAGATGCAGCCACTCCTGCTCCTGGTGGTCTTTCTCCTGTCCCCCAGGGTTCAGGCAGGTGAGTGACCATTCCCACCCTCAGGAGCCCAACTCCATCCCATAGACTCTGGAGCCAGACCACCCAGGCACTTGCTAGCCCTGTATCACTGGGCAGCTTGCATGAGTCCACAGTTTCTCAGCTTCAGATTCTGAAGGTAGAAATTATATCAAGCCTACCTGGAGAGTCGCTATGAGAGCTAAGTGACGGAGTGTACATAAAGCTCTCAGAACCTCCCTGGTACATACTACCTGCTTTATAAATGTGCTCTCTGAACTGAGTTTGCAGCCCCTGTGTCAGCGCCTAGGGGATCAAGACACAGCAATAGCAGGCCCATCAGCTCATCTCTAGATCCTTAAATTCATGAGCTAGACTCACAAGCATCTGGAAATTTCCCTGAGGAAGAAAGTGCCACAGAACTTCAGGGACAGGCCCCTCCAGAGGGCTCTGGGTTTGCCCTCCCTACAACAGAGAAACCCTCCTGTGAGGGAGCCTGCACCTGGCCCTTCCTTCCAGGCAGGTGGGAGGGCACTGAGACTGGATGGAGAGCCAGCAGCACTTCCTGCAGGGTCCTGGAGCCGCCCCCAATTCTGTGCCCTGCAGACCCCATTCTCACCAACCACCAGCTCACCCTGCCCCTGCAGCATCTCTCCTGCTCCCCAACTTCCAGTCTTTCTGGAGCCACCGAGCTGATGTCGACACATCTGCCAGTGCAGAGATAATCCTAGTGCTTCCTTCCAGGGCAGATCATCGGAGGCCGAGAGGCCAGGCCCCATTCCTGCCCATACATGGCATTTATTCTGATTCTGATTTCCTGGTGCGTGAAAACTTTGTGATGACAGCAGTCACTGCCTGGGAAGGTGAGGACTTACGGGAGTTCTGGGCACCAGCAAGGCAGGTCCAGAAGAGTTCATGAGAGGAGTCTCTGAAACAGGGTTCTAGCCATGAGTGGGTGAAAAAAAAAGACCATGTAGAGCTTGGTGGACAAGAAGCAGGCCAGTGTGAATGGGGGAGGACCTGATCAAAAAGAACAAGAGGGGGGAGTTGAAACCTTTGCACTGGATAAGGAGAACAATGAGATGCTTCAAAGAGTAGAGACCAGAGTGACATCCCACGAGACTTAGTCTCCTTCTCTGGGGCAGAGCCCAGCTCCAGGGCAGTTCCCAGAGCCTTAATAAACGCCCTAGTCTGGAGTGGAAATGACTGATTTCTAATGTGTTCATTAAACATGATTCGTGTACAACAAAGTGTGCCAGGACTGAGGGTAAGCTTCATCAGGAAGATGGGGTCTCTTTCTCAGGACAAGTGAATCCCGAATCCTACTGTCCTGGGGTCAGCAGGAGCTTCTTCCCTCCTTCAAGCCATCCATTCCTCTGTGTCCCCTCTACCCACAGCCTGGGGATGGATAGAGGGACCTACATCTTCCCAGAATAAGGTTCCCTGCTCTCCACTCTACCAGAGATGCCCCCTTAGGTACCTGAGAACCATATGCCATTGGCGTGGGTAGGACATAAAACACAAAGGAACAACTGAAATTCCATACGAGGCTCAATTTAAGAATAAATGTGGCAGAGCAAATCACTGGAAAACAATGAATTTTTAATAGATTGCAATGAAACAAATAGTCATTTGGGAAAAAAAGATAAATCGGGTCTACATCTCATCATAAACCTAAATAATACTCAAATGGGATCAAAGATCTAAATGAAAATACCAACCATAGGAGAAATAGAAGAAAGAAAAAAAATTTACTTTCTTAATAATATCTAACAAACACCCATATCAAAGCTGTGCTATTCACAATGGCCAAGAGATGGGAGCAACCCAAGTGTCTATGGACAGAGTCTTTCTCCTAAACCCTTTTCCATACCAACCCACTGTGCTGTAGACCAATGTTCTCATTTCCATGTGGTGAGAGTCTTCTTCTGGGTTTGTTACTCGACAATTATACAAAACTCTACATAATATGTTGGCTAAAATAACATGACTTTTACTGTAAAGATTAGCCTGTGACTAATACACCAATATATAGATTTCTGAAGTCACATAGTTTAAAACCATGCTTTAACACTTTAAGTAACGATAAAGAATCAACTGTAGGTTCTTCTATATTCATCAAAATGTTAACTGGGCTATACATCTGTGTCTCTTTTTCTGTTTTGCATATAGGGTTATCGTTACAGACTTTTGGACTCTGTGGGAGAAGGCAAGGGTGGGATGTTTCAAGAGAACAGCATCGAAACATGTATATTACCTAGGGTGAAACAGATCACCAGCCCAGGTTGGATGCATGAGACAAGTGCTCTGACCTGGTGCACTGGGAAGACCCAGAGGGATCAGGTGGAGAGGGAGGTGGGAGGGGGGATCGGGATGGGGAATACATGTATATCCATGGCTGATTCATGTCAATGTATGACAAAAACCACTACAATAATGTAAAGTAATTAGCCTCCAACTAATAAAAAATAATAAAAAAAATAAATCATTTGCTGTAAAAAAAAAAATGTTAACTGGGTTTCCCTGATGGTCTAGTGGTTAAGAGTCTGCCTGCCACTGCAGGGAACAATGGTTCGAACCCTGGTCTGGGAAGATCTCACATGGCGGGGAGTAACTAAGTCTGTGCACTGCAGCTACTGAAGCCTACATACTTAGAATCCATGCTCTGCAACAAGAGAGGCCACCACAGTGAGAAGCCTGTGCACTGCAACAAAGAGTAGCCCCCACTCGCCGCAACTAGAGAAAGGCCGCGCGTGACAACAAAGAGTCAGTGCAGCCAAAAATAAACAAATAAATCTTTAAAAATGTTAATTACTCCTTGCCATGTGACATTTCCCACCTGAATTTTTGCAGTATCCATAATCTTGAGTAATCACTGAACACACATCAAATCCAACTGATATATGCAAAAATGCTTCGGTAAATTTGTTTGTATTTTTATAGATCTATCTTGCCAGAAGGCCATTTGCTTAATATTCAGTGTGAGTCATTTATCAACAAAATTTTAATCAGTTATACATCTTTGAAAGTAATCAGTCATTTTTTCCGTTTATTTGCTACCACCCTCCCATAGGAATTATGTCTTGCTTGTATGTTCTAGGGGAAAACAACCTCATTATTAAATGTTTGCATTGCTAGGTGGAAAGAATACTTGATGGTGGAAGGGGGAGGCGAGAGCAGTGAAGAGCCCCCATACAGTCCTTCCTAAGCTCTGTGACATTTATTTTGAGCCCCAGAGCACCACCCAAGTCAAGACTCAGTCCTCAGGAAACTCCCAGTGCAGACCCATCTCCCCACCTAAGGATCTTCCAGCTATTGAGCCCCTTCAAGGCAGCTGCCTGCCTTTAGCAGCCCTGCTGGAAATGTTTCTACAGACCTCACCAGGCTCACCTCCAGAGGACAATTCTCTTGACCATCCCAAAAGTCAGATCCACCACCTCTCACAGCTTAGCATCCTCCCCTATTAAGTAAATCTCAGCAGCAGAAGTTTGGCATGGGTCCAAAGTTTACTTAAGGAAAATATTCCTTGTTATGTTCTCCACAGGCACTGGACTCTGATCTCTCAAGTACTAGCCAGGCCTCTCTCAATCAGAAGGTATTGTTCTTCTATTTTCTCCCTGTTCCACTGGCCACAAGATCATTTAGGCTGCTGCTCTCAGATCTATCTGCATCCCGTGGTTTGGTCTAGGTCTTGGTCTAGGTTATCACATCTTTTTCTCTGAAATGAAGTCTGTCTCCCTGGGGCTTTCTAGTCATCCATACACCTCAGTGAATTATAGTGTTTGACTAACTTGAGTTTCTTCTGGAATCTCTGTGTTACTCTGACTTATCAAGTTATTTAAACTCTGTGAGAGTTCCTTTTTCATCTCTGGATTAAGGAATCCCTAAAGAATTCTGAGGATAAAATGACACAGTACATTACAAATTCCTACCAAAGTACCTGGTGTGTAAAAAGATTTCAATAAATATTAATCATAACTTCTCTTTCTTTTACTTCTTCTGTCCCAGCTCTGGAACCACAGGAAGAAATTCACCTCAGGCAGTCTGACAGTCCTTAATTTAGGGGAGCTATCATGTCTAGTGTCCTGTCAGGGTAACTCTCTTCTTCTGAAAAAAAGAACACCTCTAGCTCTTCATCTCGAGAAGGCAATGGCAACCCACTCCAGTACTCTTGCCTGGAAAATCCCATGGATGGAGGAGCCTGGTAGGCTGTAATCCATGGGTCACAAAGAGTCGGACATGACTGAGCGACTTCACTTTCACTTTTCACTTTCAAGCATTGTAGAAGGAAATGGCAACCCACTCCATTGTTCTTGCCTAGAGAATCCCATGGACGGCGGAGTCTGGCAGGCTACCGTCTATGGGGTTGCACAGAGTCGGACACGACTGAAGTGACTTAGCAGCCTCAGCATCAGCAGCTCTTCACCTATTCTCCTGAAGATATTCAGGAGTCCATTCACCTCCCAGGATTCTCTCTTGTGGAAATTCTACTCCAAGTCAAAGACTGGGACCTCCTAGACCAAGTCAGAAATTGAGTTTTCTCAAACCTCAGGATCAGGACTAGGGCTGTGGTTTCTGGAAGCAATTCCACAAATATTTCTACTGCGCCACCTATTCTTCTGAATGCCCAGGTGGGGGCAGTCATTTTGAACTGGGGCTATTCTTTTCTTGAAAACAAGAACAGATGTCCTCATCAGGCTTCGAATATCTCAGTTGTCCCAGATGAGCGAGGATATTACTTCTCACCTCTTTCTCTAGCTCACAAGATGCCCAAAGTTTGGAGAACGAGGCCTCTCCAGCCTCCCTGTACACATGCAGGAAAAGGTAGGAGGAACCTTGGCTCCACCTGGTTGTCGGGGGCTGGATGAAGATGGGCAGGCTTGTTTGTGATGGCTTGTTCCCTCCGCAGCTCCCTCTCCATCCCTGTTCTCCGACAGTCTGTTTGCACAGGTTTCGCCTGCTACCTATTAAGGTGTAAGTGATAAATGAGGTTCAAGACTGACAATGCGATCATGCTCAAGGCT